AACGCGAAATAATTATTTAATAAAAAATTAATTGCACCATGCGTACTACGGTCAGCCCTGCACAAAGGTAACCACCAATCTTTATCTTTGTAAACAAGAAGAGCTCCAGAAAAACGAAGACAACAATTCTTGCGAAATTGCACTATTAGACGCAGATCCGCAGACGTCAACTTGCCAAAAAACACAAGTAATTATCACCCGACCAATAATCAACCAACTAGAAAATTCAAATCAATGGATTTTTGTAATGCCAAAAGAAGAAACCATCAAACTTAAATGCAGTGCGCAAGAAGAAATCCGAAGACTACACGGAACGTACCTTGTCCAAATCCCTAACGATTGTTTGATCAAAACCAATAATCAAACAATAATAAATGGAAATCGATCGACGAATGCAACCCTTCAACCAATAATATTTCCTGACTGGCCGAACATTCCAATTGCACCGAATCAGTTAGATTTATCAGTGCATATCAAAGAAATCAAGCTAGACGACCTTGTTGACATAAAGAAGCAAATTCAAGCGAACTACCCTCAGTTGCACTCTCCTCAGCTCTACCATTACCCAAGTATATGGACCATGTTCATTTATGTGGTTCTTATCACCTGTTTTGGGGTAATGACCTACAAAAAGTATATCCAACCAAGATGTTTAAAGAAAAATCCAGAACAAGACGAAGGAAGAATCGACCCCCGAGTTGTTCAACTACCCCTCTAGACGGCCTATTTGAATCCGAGGATGGAGGAGTTATGTCACCAACCAAGACGATATAACGCTGACATAGCATCTCTAATTTCTTTATATAAATTGCTTCCATCGAACTTTAGTTCACTTTTTACTTAGCTATATGATTGTCAATTAGTTTTAATTTTTAGAATAAAGTTTTTAAAAACGGTGTCGGTCGTCTCGATAAGTTAACTAGCGTCACTCAGATGGGACTTGAGTGGGTATACGTGGAATTTTGTTGCAACCGTCATCATCCACGAAGAAATATGTAGTTGCTGAAAATGCTACTTCCGTCCGGAGTTAGAATAGAAATAGGATCCTTGAGTAGCTAGGTTCCATATCTAAGTCTTGAAGGATTTGGACCTTCTGTAGATCGCCTATGATTCGGTGCCTTTAGTATGGCTTTGTACTTCAGCCTTTGCTCGAAGATAGTTATGTTCCTTGCGAGCTGAGTTTTGATCGTTTTGCCAGATGTTCTAGACTCGAAGTCGTTCTAAATTTCCTTATTGTCCTCAAACCAAGCCTGATTTTTCCTTGTGATAAAGCCCGTAGATTCTTGGCAGACTGTAAACAAGATATTTCATTGACTAGCTATTCGATATCGTTGGACATTCAGAAGAAATTTCCTCATTCAATAGCCACTAAAAAATTGTTTTGGTGTCCACATCTTTGAGTTGTTCAATAATAAAGAAATCTGCGTATATGAAAAAAAACCGAGATCAGAACAAAGCATCCCTATGGGGCTTAACCCAATAGTTTACCATGCCGAAATTAATGCAATTCAAGCACACAGAAGATTCTAGAGCTGGGTTATAACGACCAGAGCATAAGCATTCTCTCAGACAGTCAGGCTGCTCTATAAGCTCTGTACTCACGTCGATTTACTTTGAAGATAACGATGGAATGCCTACATGACCTGGAAGCTCTTATTGACAAGGAATAACACGAGGAAGCTCCCGTGGGTTTTTGGTCATTCGGGGATACAAGGCAACGAAAAGGGTGACGAACTACCCAGAGCGGGCGCAGATGCGTACTCACATAACACGGGTGGTAGGACTACTAACAGGTCACTGCCACCTTAGAGCGCACATGTACAAATTAGAAAATGAGAGTCTACAATGGCCCAACGGCATATAGATTGTTTGATGAAGAGGAGGAAACCGCCTTAAATATTGTAGCAGTTGCATTTTTCCTAAAAAAATCCGAAATAGACATCAATTAATTTTTTATGTATTCTTACCTAATTGGGTTAATAAAATTTGTATAAATGAAATGTATCATAAGAGATGAATTATTGTATTTCAATTTTCTTAGTAATTAAATTTAGTAAACAAGTTTTTGGGTTGTTCCAATCGAGTCGATCAGCTGTTCTCTACTTGTTCGGTACTCCTCTTAATTTTTCGATCGATCACGATCCAACCACCGGTTGGAAAACGCTATTCGGAGGATTCGTTCGCAATTTTCGGACAGATGTCAAGTCATTTCAAAATTGAAATTAAAGTCAACCTGATTTTGGCCTTCACCACTCACCATCTAGATCTGGTCGATGGTGGATCGTTTGTTTTTGAGTTCTCTTGCAAAGAAAAGTGATTTGAAATTTCCTTAAAGAAAAAATTGATAATTTGTTAAAATATCGGCTCTACCGATCGCCTTTGCCTGTCGTAGTGCTATTGAAGTTCATTTTTTCCTGATATTGACCAGGATGTAGCGGATTTTTCCAGATTATGTCGGTGAGTTTTTGTCAACCCTCATGGGTACACATTTTCACCTAAATATTTCCAGGAATGTTGGGCCGTGACATGGCGTTGCTTCCGTGTTGCTGATGGCAGAAGGCTCTCTAAATGAAAATTGTTGATATTGTTGATATTGTTGGTGTTGGGGCCTAATGAGGTAATTTATGCGAACTCAGCTGAGTGATTCGATTGTTGAACCTAAAACTTTGTTGAAGGGTTTTATATATGGGTTTAATCAAGGGTTTATTTGGATATGCTAGAAGCATATAATGGTTATCTTTATGGGTGCAGGATGGAGGTGCTGAGCACATAACTTTTCGTTTAATTCGGTTCGGTTGGGTTTTGACGTGCTGAAAACACCTGGTGACTGATTGTCCATCTACTGATTGGCATGTGGAGCTAATTATGGGTCAATGGTATCTCCGTGGATGAACTGAGAATCCAGAACAACCAACTAGAAGTTTTCAAGTAACCAATTTAATGAACCAGTTTTTTTACAATTATAATGATCAATAGTTTCCTTTTTTTTTACAATAATTAACCTGTTAGAAAGATTTTTTTCAGGTAATGACCAACGTGAATACAGGGACAATACGGTCCCTGTTTGGGAATCGGCCCACTGAGCAGTGGACTCAGGCTTCCCGTGCCAATCCTTGACGCATTTCGTCCTTGTTAGGACTCATCAGAAGGACATAGGCTGAAGCTCCCTGTCCAAGCAAAATTGAACTTTGACCAGTCAAAAACAACTACTCCGAGGGCAAATACCCCTACCGGCGTTGAACTACACTGATTGGTCTGAGCTTTCGTTGGCAATGGAAATTGTTAGAAAGATTTTTTTCAGGTAATGACCAACGTGAATACAGGGACACTACGGTCCCTGTTTGGGAATCGGCCCACTGAGCAGTGGACTTGGACTTTTGCTTGGACAGGGAGCTTCAGCCTATGTCCTTCTGATGAGTCCTAACAAGGACGAAACGCGTCAAGGATTGGCACGGGAAGCCTGAGTCCACTGCTCAGTGGGCCGATTCCTAAACAGGGACCGTAGTGTCCCTGTATTCACGTTGGTCATTACCTGAAAAAAATCTTTCTAACAATTTCCATTGCCAACGAAAGCTCAGACCAATCAGTGTAGTTCAACGCCGGTAGGGGTATTTGCCCTCGGAGTAGTTGTTTTTGACTGGTCAACAAAGTTCAATTTTGCTTGGACAGGGAGCTTCAGCCTATGTCCTTCTGATGAGTCCTAACAAGGACGAAACGCGTCAAGGATTGGCACGGGAAGCCTGAGTCCACTGCTCAGTGGGCCGATTCCCAAACAGGGACCGTAGTGTCCCTGTATTCACGTTGGTCATTACCTGAAAAAAATCTTTCTAACAATTTCCATTGCCAACGAAAGCTCAGACCAATCAGTGTAGTTCAACGCCGGTAGGGGTATTTGCCCTCGGAGTAGTTGTTTTTGACTGGTCAACAAAGTTCAATAATTAACCTGTTTATGAACTTATAAATAATCTTGCTAGCTGTAAAGCTAATCTTGGTCATGTAAGTATTATTGGTATTGAATATTATGAAAGTGCAGTGTATAATCACCCTGGGGAAGGTTCATGAATCTTGCGTCTCTGGTATTAACTAACAAACTTTAAAATTAAACATATAGAAATGTTTCAATATTACATTCCAAGAGCGGCTATTCAATTTCAAACAAAAATTTAAGTACCTTTTAAATACCTACTGGTTAATTTGATTTTTTTTTATAAAATTCTAGTTTGAAACTAAGGTTGTAAATATTGGTAAAAATACCTATTATTGACTGTAACCAGTCCTTTAACCGTCAGCCGTCAACTCGCACCCAAAAGGGGTACTTGGGGAAAAATTTAATAAATATTAAATGGTATTTATTTGAATACTTGTGTTTTATTGTTTTGCTGATTTTTGATTTCTATTCCAGAAAATGATCCATAGGTTATGTTTATAATTCTGATTCTATAAGTTTTTATTTCATTGAATATTCTAGTTTTGGTAATTCACTAGATTATTTTTATAACAACATTTACAATTCAAATTACCTGGCGCCTAACGGACTTTATTTCTTTTATTTTTTTTTGAAGTGTACAAAAGCAAAGGCCAAGAGCCAAAACCCACAGCCTCCGCAATATAAAAGTTAGCCGTAAGCTTTGTAGCGAAATATCGCTATAATATAATATACAACTGTGAAGCACTGGCTCGCATAAGACAGAATTTATTTGGAGGAATACAACGCGGCGAGAGACTCACGCATGAAAAACTTTTCAGCAAGCTGCCAGATCAAGGGCACAGAAGTCTCCTCACAAAACAACTGGGTCTGATCGAGGTATGTGTGTTAAGATTTTAAATGATTATAGAATTGTCCTCTTTTATAATCGACGAAATCTATTTCATCATATATTTAAGCACAGATCGCCAATTTTTTTAAAATGCTATCTATATCACGGAAGAACATCCCTCAGGAGAATTATTGTCTTTTATTATGAATACCATACTGTTTAATTAGACATTTGATAACTTACCTACGGTAGTCAAAAGGGTTATAGTGTAGAGAAGGGAACCACCAAAAGTCCATTTTGGGGCTGAAAAATATAGGGTATCGTCGTTCTTAGCACTTTCGACCACGGAACGTTCAAATTTTTTCAACTGCTCCGTGACCAGTTTGGTCCAGTTTTTCTCGTAGAGGACATTCAGGCGTTCTGAAACAAATAAGTTATTTGAAAAATCTGACTACCATAATGATATAGTAAGTGTATTGTTATACCTAGAAGGCAAAGTTGAACATTCGAGGCACAGACCGAGACAGTCAACATAAACATAATTTTTCCGAAAATTGAAAATGATTAAAGGACATCGCATGAAATATTTTATAAAACATATATTGAAATTCGCAAAAATAAAATCGTCTCTTCACAGTACAATAATTGAAAGTGTGTGTGCAAAGAAATATCTTTTCTTTTTTTTTTCTTTCAAGAATATCAATATATTCGATTTATTTCCTGAAAACTATTGTTGTTTAGCTTTATTGACAAATATCAACTTCGACAATTTCATGTAGGAAAGATGCTCCAATTTATTATTAAATCTAAAAATTCAATTTGTTTCTGGTTATTTTTGTTTGTAGAAAAAATATTGTATGATATTTGTGTTAAAAGTATTTTTGAGGCACTTATGTTAATTGCAGAGTTCGCTTCACTCATTCTGCAAACTTTCACCTGCGTGCCTCAAAAATGTACTTTCAACACTTACATCATAAATAACTATTATTAACATCTGAAATTTCATTATAGGTAACAATCAAATTTTGCATATTATGCAGTAAATTTAATTACTACGGACATTAATATATAAACTGAATTGTTATTGGTTTTTATAAAATATGACCCAAAATATTGCATTTTATCTAATTTACAAACAAATCCTGTACGTTATTGTGGAAAAAATATTATTATTGATGTGTTATCACTGTTATCAGATTAATGATTTTCATTTTTCTTTTTTTTTTGGGAAGCCTCAAATTGGAAAGCATTCTAAAGAAATCTTATTTAAAACCGAACCGATTTTAGGCAAAAGTAGGTACATTTGGCTTTTCCCTAAGGTAAGATTTTAGCGCCAAGCTAGAATACGAAAAACCAACCCGGTCAGGATTCTAGGAATTGTTTACGTCTAGCGTGACTATCCGGGGAATTTTATAATAAAGTAGGTAGCGGAACCGGGGTATCCTAGATAAATCCCGGGCATAATTAGAGTCAATTTAAATAAGAACTTTGCTAGAAAGAGATTTGAATAAGATGATGTAGTAAGTCAGTTTGAATAGATTTGTTGTGTACCTACCCTTTTTTATGTCTTGTTGTTAAATAGGTAAGTATGGGTTTATTTTACATTTGAAATAAATTTAGGTTGAAAAACACCAAGTCGTGGATGGTCTCAAAATTTTACCATAAAGGTTACATGTTTCGCCCAATAATGGACATCATCAGACATAAAAATAAAATTTCTTACACTTAGAACAAACATAGTATAGGAACACATACCTTCAGCTGAACTCTTAGAGGTAGTGTTTCCAACAGACGCATACATTTCAATCTCTACAATAAAGCTTTAAAAATAAGTGGAACATGTCCCGAAGATGACAAGGGAAAGACAGGGCTGCCAAAAAGCTCACATAACCTAAACTACAATTTCAAGCATAAAGAGGACATGCGCAAGTTGTTTGCAGCCGGTGGACAAGGTACGACCATCTCGAGAATCCCGAGTGAGTACGTTAACCAAAGCTTCGCGGTAAATGAAAAAAGAAGATGAACAAGAAAACGCAAGCAAAAGAGGAGAACGACGTGACATCTGTTCAGAGACACAGACATAAAGCAAATGCTTTTGGAAAATAAATAATCTCAACTCCATTGCCCTAATGTGAAAATAGTATTCTTTAAATTATATTGTTAAAAATTAAATTGGGTTCAAAATTGAACACGGCGTTCACACAGGTCAGGGCTCTTCTTGGCACCAGTTATTTCCATTTCCATTGGTAAGTCCAATTTCCTTCCCTTATCACATTGATGCAAAACTTTTCGTTTTCACGGAATGGAAGTGTTATGTCTTGAGGTCAATAAGTGGTTTGCGAAGGCGGAATTGGTATTGCTTATATCAAAATCTCTATATTTTTGCACATAGCTAAGGTGTTCTTCAATTCTAGTTGATACCTTTCTACCAGACTGGCCAACATAAACAGCAGGTCAATCTCCGCAATTTATGGAGTAAACTCTCGATTTATCGAGGAAGTTAGTTTTGTACTGTACTGTAGTTGTACAACTGTAACGAGATATTACCGAAAAAAGTGATTGACCTGAAAATCCTTTCCACTCTATTTGCTTTATGTATGATGTTGTACTTATGAGAGTTTGTATTTATTTAAGAATTTGCAATATAATTAAGTCAAACAAGCTAAGGAGACTCTCTGTTCGACCGCCGAGCAGAGACCAGCTTGTGTGTCTGGGGCTACACACTGATGCTTTCTTACTTATAAATAAAACCAAAAACGCGTATTACGGCGACAATTCGTTCCCCATCAACCGGCAACAGATCCTCAGTAAAGAGGACTATGGAAGAGGTAGAAAAAGATGCAATATCTGTGGTATCTGGTATCTCTCGCAAGCGAGGGTGCCACGGTATACAACTTAAGGGACAAAACCAAGGCCATAAAGGCTAAACTGACAATCTACCACGGTAAATGCACGGAATGCGATGAGCTTCACCAAAAAATTTGGGAAATGACGGCAAGTACAAACCCGCTACCTTATAACACGGAAACTATGAACCATGCAATTAATCACCTAGAAAAAAGGCATAAATTAGTCCAAAGCAAAAAGAGGTATAAGGTAGCATCAAGCACGCCACCGAAAACGAACAACATTACACATTCCACAGAAGCAAAAAACGGTGCGATTTCAAAACCAAAAAAACAACAAAAGCAGCCACCGAAAATTGCCGCCGAACCAAAAATTGCCGCCAAACCGAAAATTGCCACCGATTCAACGGACAGCTTCAAGGTCCCCCTTAAAACCATTGGTTTCAAGAAAATCATAGCCGTAAAACATCAGGATTTTGGGGTACCAATCCCAACAGCCAATAGGTTTGAGGGATTTCCGTCGGAGTCGGAATGTAATGAAACTGCTAGCAACATCTCGGAAGCGTCTGGAAGCACGTCGATCCGTAACAAAGCTCGCCAAAGTATTCCTAAGGCAAAAGCCACAACAGCCAAACCCGGGGGTGGATATAATATCACAGCCAAAAACATCTACAGGATGAAGACCAAGTACGAAGCCATGTACTTGGTCATCCTGCACGTTTCACACACCCTGAAAGCCCTCAACCAGAGAGTGAAGATTATCCTGAACGTCAGGGTGCACTGGGAAAACTGGAAATCGGAACGCCCACTGATGCAATGCCGACGGTGCCAGGGACTAGGTCACGCAGCCACCTACTGCAAAAAGACCCTCAAATGCAGCAGGTGCACTGAACCGCACAAGATAACGACCTGCAACAACCCAGTGGAAAAATGTGCCAACTGCGGGGGTGAACTTCGTAGAATCAGCCCAAATTGCACAGTGTACATACATCTATAAGATCAGGCAACTAGAACCCCGTAGGAGGTACGTCCCTGCACCGCCACCAGCAACGACGTAGGGGTCTTCTTCCCCAGAAACGGGAGAGCGTTACTGGTGGGGGACCTCAACCATACAAGTTGGCTGAACAATACAAGTTGGCTGAACAATAACAATAATACAGCAGGCAACACCCTCTTCAACTACCTTATTAAATAGAAACGTGCAACTTCACCACCCCGACAGCCCTACCCACTATCCCAGCTCAGGCCAAACCCCATCCATAATTATTGATGCTGCACTTTCGAAAGGGCTTACTAATATCGAGGTCAAAACAATGGACTTACTCGGCTCAGACCACCTACCGAACTTCCTGTACTGGAAAAACCCTCCAGTGCCTGAAGAATCGAAGGTATACTCGTACAGGAATCTCGATTGGCCAAAGTACGAACAAAGACTTAACGACATAACAGTCATCCCCGATCCAATTTTTAGCATTCCAGAACTAGAGAGGCAAGTAGACAACCTACCAAAAAATATCCAATCCGTAAGGGATCAGCAAACATTATTGTTTTCCACAAACCCGACAAGGACATCACACAACTACAATCGTACAGACCCATCTCCCTACTAAACTCACTGGGCAACGTTGCAGAATGGCTAATATTTAGCAGGCTAGCAGGCGAAATCCACACCCTCAGATGCCTACCCCCGGAGCAGTTCGGATTCTGACCAAACCACAGCACGACTCTAGCAGTAGCGGAAGTGGCTCAGGACGCAATTGCGTCATTCGCCAACCACGAGAGCACTTTCCTACTGCTACTCGATATAGAGAAGATGTTTGACAAGGTGTGGCACAAGGGCCTTATCTTCAAACTGCTGGCAACACAGAACCTACCCTTCCACTATATATCTCTTCTAAATTCCAACCTAAGTAATAGATCCTTTGCCATTAGAATAAGCAGCTGCCTATCCCAAATCAAACCCCTAAAAGCTGGAGTCCCCCAAGGCACCGTCCTTTCCCCAACCCTTTTCAAGCTTTACATGGCGGACATCCCCAAAACCCATACCAACATAATGATGTATGCCGATGACACAGCAGTGTATACTAGCGTCTTTTTCGCAGAGGATGCGAGAAGGGCGCTGGTAGACCACCTGGAGCTGCTCATACCCTACTTTAGGAAATAGAAAGTCATCCTAAATGCAGCAAGAACAGAACTCCTCACGCGCACCAGGAAAAGGAAAAACATCATTATGGATTCCTCCCTGTCAATCGGCGGAACGGCAATCACCCCACAAGCATCGGCCTGGGGATAATCCTGGACAAAACTCTCCGGGGCTACCCTCAGGTAAATCACTCCCTCCGAAAATCATACGCCGCCGAAAGACTCCTCACCCCCATCATGAAACCAAACTTCTTCCGAAGTCCCAAAAACCGTGTTGCCATCTACAGGAGCATATTATCAGGCCATCCCTACTGTATGGGGCACCTGCCTGGAACTACATCTGCAACTCCCAAAAACTAAGACTACAACGGTACCTAGGTGCTCAAGACCGCCCTCTCACTGCCCTGAGATACAAGGATAATGGAAGTACACAGACTGGCGGAATTGGACACCATCCTGGAATATTTCAACGAAGTCTCGTTGAAATTTTTCAGGCATTCATAAATTCATAAGTAAATTGTATGTTGGTATGAAGGGAATTGACAAACGGAAGTAGAAGAAGGAATTGCTCATTGGATCCAATCCACACCAAACAGATATCGTCCACATATCTCTTATACGCAAGTAAATTCGCTGCAAAAGGGCATGTTCATTATTTTTTGTTCCAAATTGTACATAAAAACACCATTTAAAAACGGTGATAAACAAGATCTCATGGCTAGTCCGGTTATCTGTCTCATAGGTATTAAGCCTGTAGAAATTCTGACCTTGAGTGGTTTGCAATAATAAAAGCAAATCGTGAATCACAATAGAAGGTAGGCGATTGTTTTTAAGTAACAAATCTCCAACTAATTAAACACAGTCTGAAGGAAGGATGCTAGTGAACAAATTCTTAACATCCACGGAAATTAACTTTGTATTGTTAGGAATGTTGATGTTATTTAAATAGTTAGAAAATTCAATGGAGTTTTTTATGGAATAAGAGCTCGTGAAATTTGTAGTCTTCCTGAGAATATCGTTTCAGCCACGACGAGAGACGATAGCATGGAGAGTTGACGAAAGATACCACAGGTCTTATAGGAATGCTCTCCTCATGTATCTTAGGTAAACCGTATAAAACAGGGGTTCTAGGGTTGATTGGATATAATTCGTTCTTCATTTTGTTAAAATATTCCAACTTTACAGAGGTTCTATCTAAAACAGACTTCAAATGAGTGGAGAAGGAATTTCTGGGGTCCTTATGTTATTATTTATCGATTGAAAATCTTCACAATCTAAGAAATTCAAGACCTTACCAACATAATCATCTCTTTCCATAATAACCAAACATGAGCCCTTGTCCGTCTTAGTAAGAAGTAAATCATTTCTTTTTATCTTAAGTTTAAAAGATCTTAGATGTGAACCATCGAAATTGAATTTCCGGTTATTATTATTATTATTATTATTATTATTATTATTCTTATTCAAAAAAGTGATCAATTTCGACCTCAAAATGTTGGGGTTATCAATATTCGTGGTTTGTGAGATGCTCTCTGCCTCTACTGCCAAAGTCTCTCTGTCTGCCCTAGTTATATTATGCAGTGAGAAGTTAAATTTTAAATTATTATCAAGTATAATATGCGATTGAACCGGAAGTTTTATTTTTGTTGTGGGACCCTTTAGTGCTTCTAAAATGAGTTAAAAATATCGTAAAAGCTTCAACCTTCTTTCCATTGTTTGCTGTCAAAACTAAAATAAAAATTATTTTTTGACATTTTCAATCGCGATTTTCTTGAAAACTCTTAAAGTTAGGTATAGGATATTATACATAAAATATGCTTAGAATTTCTCATAGAATCCAAAAATGTAATAATATAGGGGGTGATCTAGTTGAAATAAAGAAGTTGATGGCACTTGCGGTCAAACCAGAAGCGACAGTCGATTGTTTTTATAGCGAATTGAATGCATCAGATTTAGAATTCTAATGTGAAGTAGGTATCGGGTCTTCAACAAAAAAACAAATCAAAGATTGCTATGGTTTTTTAAACGTATGTCTTAGCAATATTTTGCTTTAATTTTGTTAATCAATGAACTATAACCAAAAACTGGAATGCTAACACATAAGGACGAACGTGAAGCCTAGTGCGGCTGCTGCGGAGGGGATACCTGTTTTTGTCGCACTCATTATGTTAAATGGCGAAAATTGCTTCCAACACGTATTCCAATTGATGAAACCTGTGAAGGGAAATATGACAAAACTTTTGAAATCGTCATATGTCAGCGAGCAACAGAAAAAAACAACATTCCCCCTTGTGGCATCTGTCTTTCATGGCTTAATTTTTTTGGCAGATATGGCAATGTGTGCGCATTCCAGTTTTTAGCTATAGTTCATTGTTGTTAATGAAATTTAATGTCAAAATGTCATGTCAAAAATCCTGACCAATAAAGAAACAGAAAATGCGACATACGTTTTTGTAATCAAAGCAATCTTTGATTGTTTTTTTTTTTTAATTATTAGTCCACCAACCAGGGTTTACCCCTCAGGGGCATCAAGGCCAAGCAAGATGGGTAAATTCGAAATTGGTACCTACATTTTGTGTTTAGGACCAAATTATAGGAGACGCCCCAGTAAAAACCGAAATTCAGGTAAATGGGTTTTTGGAAATGGCACAGTTTTAGTTAATTACATCCATATATATTTTTAAATAAATGAAATTACGATGGAAATTACACTTTGTTGTTTACATTTCAAAAATAAAGTTAAATCCATAGAGAATCGAGATCGATAGGTTATCGATATCGAATTCTTATCGATATGTCACTTTGAGAACACAACTCGTACAGAAATTTCGTGAAATCAACAACCGCATGGCAACACTGGAAGAAAGCAGCCAATAGAAAATCTAGGCGCGTGACGTCACCATCCTAAGAATTTTGAATTTCAATTAAAAATTTAAGGCCTTTCCCGGTACCAAAAAAATCCGAAAAAAATATTTCTGGGCTTTATTTTGATTACCCTTTCAGATAAGCAAATAAAAAAAATCGTGGTAAAGACCCATTTTCACATGCAAACATACACTTCCTTCTTAATTTTTAAACTTCGAAATATAAATTCAAAATTCGACCAGAAAAATTAAATTTCCTAACAGCATTTCGACGATAAGTGATAAAGCACACCACTAATGCTATTTCAAGTTACTAGGAGCGCTATCTTGCGCTGATCTGGTGCAACTAATGGTCCGGAAATACTGATACGGCCGTCTTGAGCGTTCGGAGAAGTTGCTTTCTCGCATTTAGATAGTTTTAGATAGTTGTAGCTGCGATAAATTTTGCCGTTTTGTGCAGATGGTACTCAAACGGCTAGTATTTTTACAAGGGTGTAATATTTGTTAGATTCACATTTCGAGCAGCAGATATAAGGATATTAAGGTCATAAACGAAGAAAATAAAAATGTTATTGAATACGTTTCCTGTGTTTTTTTTTTATATCAGATAATGGCAATCAATAATAGTGTTTTATTTACGACTGACATATAATGTAAGTATTACATATGTGATTTTGGCAGTATAATGTCATATATTATTCCCGCAGGGATTAATGGTCATTATTCCCGCTTGCACACCAATCACAAAATTCCTCAAATTAAATAAGCGTAGTACCATGGAAACAATATACCTGAACAAACTCAAAAGTGTCAGTGTCAAACGCGTAGTGCTTGTGTATTTGTATTGAGATGGATGAACAAAGAGCGTTTTTGGAAAGAAAATTTCAAATAAATTAATTTGTCGTGAATAAAGTAGAGTATACTACTCGCAATAATGGCTATTATTCCCTCGGAATGTTACTCCCTCGCCGCTAACGCGGCTCAGTTCTTAAATATACCTCGGGAATAATAGCTATCATTATTGACTCGTGGTATAATCTACTATTATTTTATAAAGTACAAGTCGTATTTTTTACACAAGTTTCATTAGTAGCATTATATTGTTCTCCAGCACTGCAATTCCGAAGCACCACATAATAGTTCCACATTGCCTTACAGCACTCGTAGTACTGGTTACAGGCTTCAGCTTCCCATTTTTGGGAATTCTTGTTGCAAGTAGTGGGTCCTGTTATCGGGGCTTGAGTCGTAGTGGGTGCTGTGGTCGGTGCTTGAGTCGTAATGGATCCTGTTGTCGAGGCTTGTGTCGTAATGGATCCTGTTGTCGAGACTTGAGTCGTAATGGATCCTGTTGTCGAGACTTGAGTCGTAGTGGGTCCTGTTGTCGGGGCTTGAGTCGTTATAGATCCTGTTGTTGGTGCTTGAGTCGTAATGGATCCTGTTGTTGATGCTTGTGTCGTGTTGGATCCTGTTGTCGGGGCTTGAGTCGTAATGGATCCTGTTGTCGGCGCTTGAGTCGTAATGGATCCTGTTGTTGATGCTTGTGTCGTAATGGATCCTGTAGTAGAGGCTTGAGTCCTATTAGATCCTGTTGTCAGTGCTTGAGTCGTAATAGATCCTGTTGTCGGTGCTTGAGTCGTAATTGATCCTGTTGTCGGAGCTTGAGTCGTAATGGATCCTGTTGTCCGTGCTTGAGTCGTTGTGACACCACCTTGCGAATTGACTGGCTGGTATATTTGTAAGAGGCATAGCTATAAAATAAGATAGTTAAGGAAAGTTTCTCGGAAACCGGAATGAAATAAATGAGTTGAGAGGCTTTAAAATAGTTAAAGTTACACATTAAAAGTGCGGAAGATGGTTCCTCTGTGGTACTCCCTTGTATAGAAGGTTTCAAATAAATAATGAAAAATTCAAGTCCTGTTGATTTGATTGGTATATCCACTAAAATTCCTCAAATTTTTAGGACAATAATTAAGTTTTCCAGGAACTAGTAAAATAGGCACTTGATGTTTGTAGGTAACCGTACACAAAGATCAAAATCGTTCTCAAATTGAATCGTATAAAGCTTGGCAGGTACTTGCCTATCAAAATGTGATCAATTCAAACTCTTACCATAATTCCCGAAATTACCACAGCAATTTTCATAGTGTATCACGTTTTGACACTTGCTCCTTTAGAAAACAACTTCACTTTGACATACTTTCGAACACTATTTGCGAATTTAAATCATTTTTGCGAATCTTTCTGGGTAACTAAACAATGGCAATGCCTAAATTATTTAAACATAATTAAATTTCGAAATTATTTTATTGTGTTATAATAGTAGATACTCGGTAATTTTTTTTTCCAGTAAATAAACGCCTTGATTATTTATTTTACTTTGAAACTCGGTGAATGCCATTTTACTTGATTCTTCATCTTTTAAATAAAATTTTGGTTATTTTCTTATATACTTTTCAATTTTTAACAAGTCGATGCGGACAAATTGTTCGTCTTTCCTTATTTATTCACTACCTACCTAAGTTCAAATTATTATTTGAGGAACACGGAATACATATTTTTTGCACAAGGCAAACAAAAGTATCAAGTTTTATTATTTTACATTCATATCATAATATAGTCACATTACTTTAATCTAAAGCAATTTTTATTCTGAGATTGTTTTGAGATTATATTGTGCTTATTCAATTATAACATACACCGTGTCAAAAAAATTCCTATTAGATTTTGGAGCTATCTACTTAACACATGAGTAATGTAAAATTATATATGCTAATATTTGATGGAAGATGGAAGCTTTCTATAGTAGCTAATAATCAACAAATTTTTTTCGAATGTTCGAATTTTATTTATTGGCGTCCCTATTCGGATATGTTTTCGAGAAAATTCTATTTTTATCTTTCGACATTACAACGGCGATCCTTAGCGGCGATCCTATAAACTTGAAAATAATTTCTAGCAATTTCTCTTGGCCTCTTCTATCAATAATTTCTGTTTCTCCAAAGTTCTAGTGTTATTAAGTTTCTGAGATATAGCCGGATTAGATTTGAGATTTATGTTTTAATTCGAATTTGTTAAACAGAATTAAGTGAATACAAAGTCTACAATATTAAATTATAAAGCAATATCACCACCGCCGTCATCTTAGCTACCAAATTTTACATAGCATCATCCGAATCATTGATCCTGTCTTTATGTTTGATTAAAATTTCTATGATACTGTAGTCCTCACAAGTTAAACCTGACCTTAGAATGGTATACTTATTACGATTTTCACGTGGCAGCCACCTTTGTTATAGTCTGGGAGTTAACGTCATATTTCATTGTACCATTTCCGCAAGCTTCATTTTTTTTGTATGCGTTATGCGTGTAGTATATGATAGTAATATGAACGACTGCCGGCGCACCAACACGACAGGGGGTTACGGTTACAGGAGGGTTACAATTACAGCAAAAAATTAACGAAAAAAACTTATAACCGCATAAGCGAAACTTATTGTACGTATTAGTAGAAACATAGAAAGCTCAGAAAATATGGTCTGCCACCTAAATTCCACAACAAAAGTCGACTGCTAACAACATAAGTAAAAAAAAATTAAAAAATTATTCGATTAGTTTTCTTAAGTTGGATTCAGGTCAATAAAACAGCGTTGGAGATGAAAAATTTTGTATTTGCCGACGTTTCGACCTAAATTAGGTCATCATCAGGGCACTAAAAATTAGGATAATAAATGACAAATGCAAAACAAACAATAAATAAATAAATAAATAAACAAATAAAACCACAGTTACAATACACAGTTCTTAATAGTTTTAACAGCTAATATTACTTACATTCAAGTTATCACTCCAGTGTACAAATTAAAATGGTGGTAAGGAACATGTTAACAATTTAATATAATACATAATAGGCACTTGTGGACTCGACTCATAATGTAGACAGTAAAAAAAAAACAAAAAATAAAACAAACAACACAGTATTAACGGTAATTAAAAAAAATAAAATAAATTGATACAGTCGAACCGACAAAAAGAGAGGGATGATTTAAGGTTCTAATTGTTCGACCGTCTACCGTATAATGTTATTGCAAATTATATGTAGGTACTCAAGTTGGAGGTTCTTGCTTGTCGCTTGGTGTTCGACGAAATAAAAAAGAAAAGAAAAAAAGGAGGCATGCAGCCGATGAGAATACCAATAATAAACAATTATCATTTGGTTCTATGTAGGATGTTGTATAGTTTTTAAAAGATTATGGTATACCATACTCAAACCTTCAACGTCCTGCTTTTTGTTAATATTATAGGGGTGTTTTCTAATTTCAATCATTTCATTTAACAATCTTTTTTTATAATTAATTTGCTTTCCCAAAATAGCAACATTGTCAAAATCAAAGGCATGTTGTTCAACTTCGAAATGTTCCGCTAATGCAGTTTTATTGTTTGTATTCAAAATATTAGCAGGTCTTATACTCCGTTTGTGTTCAGACATTCTTGTTTTCAAATATCTTGCTGTTTGGCCTATATAGACACCATTACATTCATTACAAGGTATCCGATAGACCACATTACTTTCCATGTCTTGTGAAATTTTAGTTTTTTGCTTGGAAAAAAGTTTTCTCACCTTATTTTCAGTTTTAAATGCGACTTTTATATTGTCTTTGCTAAGTTGTCTAGCCACCTTTTCTGACAGATCTTGTATGTACGGAATTTTGAAAAACTTTATTTGGCTATTTTGTGTATGATGTGGTGTAAGAGTTCTATGTGGGGGAGACTGATATAGCAGTTTATCAATGAGTTTACTAGGATAATTGTTTTTTAATAAATATGTTTTTATGTTGTTTAAGTTTTGGAGATGGAAATCTGGATGTGAAAGTTGTAATGCTCTATTTTTTAAATTATTAATAATATTTATTTTCTGTTTAAAAGAGTGTTCAGAGCGAAAGTTGAGAAACCTTTCAGAAAAAGTGGGCTTGTGATACCAATCTGTTTTTATTTTATTATCATCGGTTCTTATAAGTAAAAGATCTAGAAAAGCAATTGAGTTATCAGTTTCTTCTTCTATAGTGAACTGCAATTTTGGGTGATAATTATTGAATACATTTAGAACACTAGGTATTTTGTTTTTTGGCACACACGTGATAATATCATCCACGTATCTTTTAAAAAATGGTAAATGAAAGTCTAGTTGATTTATACAGTGTGTTTGTAGTTCAGACATGACAACGTCTGAGCAACTTGGGGACAAACAGTTTCCCATTCCAAGACCAAAGATTTGTTGGTAGAAGGTGTTATTAAAATTGAAATAGCTATGGTCAAAACAAAACTGTAAAAGATTAATAAATGCTTCAAGTGTTAGCTGACAATAATCTTGAATCATAAACCATCTCTTTTTTAATATTTCAATTGTTAAGTCAGTTGGGATATTCGTAAACAAAGATGTAACATCTAATGATATCAGTACATATTCCTGCGGAATTTCTACATCCTTTACAAAGGCTGCCATTTCGAAAGAATCCTTTAGATAATATTGGTCTTTTTCAAAAGCGTGAGTTATTAAAGTGGACAGAAATTTGGTTAGGTTGTATGCAGGTGAACCAACAAAGCTCACAATTGGTCGAAAAGGAATACCATTTTTGTGTACTTTTGGTTGAAAATACATCTTAGGGAAAACACCATTTTTACATTTGATAGATTTAGCTTGTTCAATTGGTATTAGTGCTAAAGTCACGAGACTATCTATAGTTTTATTAAGTTTATTCTGAATAGTTATTGTAGGGTCTTTATCTAAAATTTTGTATGTGTTAGTGTCTGACAAGATTTGTGTAGCTTTAATTGAATATTCATGTTTTGAAATAGCAACCGTGGTATTACCCTTGTCTGCTTTCAAGATTAGGATATCTGGATTCTCTTTAAGAAATCTGTTTGTTTCCCTTTCTTTCTTCAGTAAGATATTTACGTTATTTTTAGGTTGTTGTCTTAAAAAATTTGTTATAACATTAACGACTGAATTCCTCCTTTCATTCCTTACATCTTCATTTGGCAAAAATTCAATTATAAATTCACAGGCAATTATTAATTGTTCCAAGGGAAGCTGTTTTTTGTTGTATGGTAAACTAAATTTATCTCCAAGTGAAAGAAGTTCTTCTACATTTTTTGGAATTTGAGTTTGGGTGAGATTTTTGAACCATTTATCGTTAGTTTGATATTCGAAACAGCTTCTGTTTTGTTCTAAAATTAACCTGTTTAATTTGTTTTTCTGTCTAATTTTAACATTTTTATGTATAGATGCATAGATATTTGTTTGTGAGATATTGAATGAGTTAAAGATATTAGATGGCAATAATTCAGATAATCTTGATTTCAATGTATTGAGTAGAGATTTTAATTTTCCAAGTTTCCAATGTACATGAGATATTTCTAGGTTTAGACATTTTAGTTGAAAACTTCTAAATAAGTTCGCGCACTTATTTTTAAATGGATTTTCTTCAACTAACCTAAAAATAACGTAAATATCTTACTGAAGAAAGAAAGGGAAACAAACAGATTTCTTAAAGAGAATCCAGATATCCTAATCTTGAAAGCAGACAAGGGTAATACCACGGTTGCTATTTCAAAACATGAATATTCAATTAAAGCTACACAAATCTTGTCAGACACTAACACATACAAAATTTTAGATAAAGACCCTACAATAACTATTCAGAATAAACTTAATAAAACTATAGATAGTCTCGTGACTTTAGCACTAATACCAATTGAACAAGCTAAATCTATCAAATGTAAAAATGGTGTTTTCCCTAAGATGTATTTTCAACCAAAAATACACAAAAATGGTATTCCTTTTCGACCAATTGTGAGCTTTGTTGGTTCACCTGCATACAACCTAACCAAATTTCTGTCCACTTTAATAACTCACGCTTTTGAAAAAGACCAATATTATCTAAAGGATTCTTTCGAAATGGCAGCCTTTGTAAAGGATGTAGAAATTCCGCAGGAAAATGTACTGATATCATTAGATGTTACATCTTTGTTTACGAATATCCCAACTGACTTAACAATTGAAATATTAAAAAAGAGATGGTTTATGATTCAAAATTATTGTCAGCTAACACTTGAAGCATTTATTAATCTTTTACAGTTTTGTTTTGACCATAGCTATTTCAATTTTAATAACACCTTCTACCAACAAATCTTTGGTCTTGGAATGGGAAACTGTTTGTCCCCAAGTTGCTCAGACGTTGTCATGTCTGAACTACAAACACACTGTATAAATC